GATATTTGATTAATTCTTGTATTTAATATCAAACATTTTTGATATTATCCTTCTGACTTTTGCATTTATTTTGATTTCTAAGATATTCAATTTTTCAAGGTATAGCACAAAAGTATTAACACCCAGTACATGCAACCGCATTTCAAACGTGTTACAAGACTCGATATGCATGTGGGACGTAAAATGTAACGCGTAATACATACAAGTCTGGCTTCCTCTTTCTATTGTCCACCACGATAAACGGTTTCCTTTCTCGTGTACGATAAGAGTCGCATTGTTTCACTGTATTCTAGTCGAAAGTAACGGCCTGTTCGCGACATTGTCGACTGATTATTTTTTTCTTTTCTCAAAGAAATTATTATAATTGGTATTGCAAATTTCTTCGAAGAATTCGTGATCCTCGGTCCTTGTCGAGAGGAACGACTCTCTTGAAACGAGACGAACGTTTTTTTATTGATCGTAAAGATGCAAAGCAGAACGAAACGACGTCGTTATCAAGATTCTTATTTAAAAAGGATTGAAAATAAAAATTGGTTGATCTGTTCTTGGAATTTATCGAATTGATTCTCAAGATAATCTCTAATAATGGGATCAAGTTATATACTTATAAATCAAAATCAAATTTGAAAGAAATCAATCCAAATCAAATACAGAAAATTTATTTCTGAAGAATCAAATATTTACTATTAAAAAATAGTGATTTATTTAGTAATGATTCCATTTAAAAGTATCCACTTTTTTCATGATATTTGTAAAGGATTCGTATCTTGTTTTGTTCGAATCTTGCTATGTTCGTTTCCATCACTATCTATTCAAATTGACGAGTGTTTAAAATTACGCATCTTTTACCATTATTATTATAGTAGAAAATTTGATCTTTTCACGATCATTTAGTAACTTCTCTTAGAGCATCTCAATGATTCGTATATGAATTTTTGCTCGTTAAACGTTTTCTAACGAGTATGTACCAAGTTTTAAACGGATATTCACCAGCATCGAAGGCGAGGTTGATTTTATGGTCGAGAAAGCACGCGCACGACACAAAAGGTTTACTCTCTTTTGAGGGTAGTTCGGTTCACCGTTTTCTTGCTGAAAATCAATATACAGGCGACCAATGAGCGCAAGCCTTGATGGTTTCCATGCATCTCTGTTCGATTTGACACTCGTTGCACGCGAAACACGCTCGTTCTCGCGAGCCAAGTCTCATAGGGACGTAGTTACTTTCCATCTTGATATTTGCTTTTGGCAAACGCATGGTACTCACGCTCCGTTTATCGACAGAATGCCATTTTCGCGCCAAGAAGAAAGTATTTTCTTCATGTTGTTCACTCCGAATTTGTTTTATTTACTGTGTATTTCCTACTTTTCCTTATATTGGAAGAACACGATGAGAAAGCGCTTAATGTGGTAAGCCTCATTTAGATTAGTTATTGAGTTACTTGTACTCAAGCGATTTGAATTGAAGTAATTGAAAGTCTTGGTTAATTTAGTGGAATGTTACTTGAATTCAAGTACAGTAATAAAAAGCGTTCGTTGTTATACATACTAATTCTTGGAAATGTTCAGCTCGAAGTTGGCTTCAAGTATGCTAAATGAGATAAACTGTGATGAAAACGAAATCAAATCTGACTGATCCTTTTGACTTACATTTTTTTCAAATTGAATTTATAGAAATTAACTGTCAGATGATTATTATATCCTATAAAGTAATATTAGACGTATGACTTAATTTGAAACAGTAGATATAAGAAGGGATCTTTTATATTTCTAAAAAATAATTCTTTAGTAATCTTTCCATTATCTTTAAATAAAAATCACGTACATTCTCTTTTTCATGCATTCGTTACTTATCGTAATTCACAAACGAAGCAGCTAATCCATATATTGCCACATAATTTGCATATTGCATGCTCGTGTTATTAAAATTTTCCATGAAGAGAATATCGAATATCTAAAATATTAGAAGTTTAAGTTTTATACCTCATACTTTTTACTTATTTCTGGCTTGAAAGTCTTGTGAAATCGTTTAACAACTCTTAATTGTTCTTCCTGTATGGCCTCCAAAGGTCATATTATCTTTCTTACGAGAAACTAATAAATGAACATCTTATATTTCTTTTTTATTGTTTTGATTTATTATTATTTAGTAATATCTATATTCTATCTATCAACAAATTTCTCTGTTTAAATAATTAATTAAAGATGAAACATATTATATAGAAACTAAATATTTTTGTTATAAAAATATTTATGTATTTATGGAAAAATTAATTTATTAAAATTAAAATGGCACTTGTAGAATGTCATTTTAGCACCAAAAAGAAAACCTTTTCTCCGCGTTTATTATTTCTACCGTGTACGTACACAAATTAAAAAAAAATAAATATTCAAATGTTCAAAGCAAAATATTCCACTTCATCGTTCATCTATTATTCCACAGGAAGAAACATTATAGCGAAAAAAATTGAGAAGACTTTAAGGATATTTTCTTTCGAACGATGAATGAACTAAAAGGATCTTTTATATAGAAGATAGATTGTTTTACTAGTTGGAAACAGGTGATTATACAATGCAAGTTCTTTTGAACGTTGTCGATGACCCAAGACCAGTGGCAATGGTTCGTAATTAATTGGCACCATTAATTAACTAGAGCGTTCCGGATGTCTCTGACCTTGATCGATTCGAGAGCTCTTCTTTCAAACGATTCATCGTGGAGTCGATTAAAAATTTAATCGTGAAGCTTGCGAATGAATCGATCAAACGTACATTTTGATTTGTGGGAAAGAAGTGTATTTACATTTTGCATAGTGCACGTGGCAGACATCTCTTATTATTCTGTTGATTGAGAGATAGATGTTGATTGATTGCATTTCATTGTATTAGATTTAGTGTATTTTAAATAAAATATTGGTTAAATAAAAGAGCAACTCAAAATCTGCTTTTAAGATGCATTGACTATTTTAATTTTATAATAATATTTTGAATAAATTGAAAATAAAATACAATGTTGAAAATGCTAAATTATTGAAAAAATTGCAAAAATTTATAGCATTTGTGTAATACTTCAAAAAATTTGTTTATTAAATTCTGACTTTAAGGATTTATTAAAAATGATGACTAGAATTAACACTCCAATATATATTCATCTATTATCAAATCTAATTGTAATACGATGAAATAATCATGTATGAAAATTATTTCTTTTTATAAAACTTCGAAATCTGTATGGGTTCAAGATTTCTTTAGTTAAACAACAAGGTTATTACGTATTATTTTATGTATTTTACATGACATTATCTTTTCGTTTATACCGAAACAATTTCATGGTTTTGGAAACTTTAAATCTGTAACACATAATTAACCAGTGAATACTTAACCTCTGCTCGAAATAATCGCAGGTACTGTTACCAGTTTGGCCTTCTGACAGACCAAGGATTTATTTGCTCTTGTAGTTTAATCGTGATATTATTTCGTTAACAGCATAATTTATATTGTGGGACAAAATGAATTATCAAAGATATTTTTTAAATATAAAATCAGAAAGTATAAAAAAAAATTTAAACGTTACTAAAAGTTTTAAATGAACTTTTGAAACTTGTTTAAATTCAAATAATTTTATTCGATATCAATAGATATCTAAAATAGCAATCGAAAATGTTTGTTGGAATATCTATAACAATGAGAGAAATTTTCAATAAATTATTAAATCTTGTACTTTCATCTCTCATACATTTTGATCAACGATATACGTTTCAGTATATTCTACGAAATACAAAATTTCTCATAAGTCTCTAAAAATTACTTTTATTACTTTTCAATAGCGCATATTTCTTGAAATTCATATAACATAAATTCACAAACAATAAAAGTATAAAACACTTCGTTACAAATAGAATTAAAAGATCCTGAATTTTCGATTCATACTTGACAAACTAGTTTCAAATTTTTTTAATATGAATGAAGCTAATCCAGTCAATAAAATTAAAAGAGTATTTCGTATCAAATAAATAAGTTCATATTAGCAAAAATTAGTTTCAAATTACATGACTTCTTTTGATAATCTGAACGGGAACTATAGAAATTTTTCGTTCGAGAAATTATTCGAAGAAGAAATTAGCGGTCCTCGTGGTTCGAAATATCAGATGCAAGGAGCTCTCGGACAACTCTCTAGAAAAAGAATTGCTTTCTCTTTTGATCACGTTCGTCGACAAAAAGCAAACGAGGAAGAGGCGATGTCCTCGCTCGCAGTCGAAAAAGCATCGAGTGTGACGAGTTACTGTTATTTCAAGCTGCATGCCGTTGTTTGTTCTTTCCGTGTCTTATTTGTAACTGACTGTACACACTGAGTGTTATACACGAAAGACAATGTACCTCTTTTCGGAGGAGTAACCGTTCGGTTTACAATGGTCGCGTGCCACTAATGTACTTTGACCGTTGCCAGAATTTATTTCACTAAAATATTAGGAGGAAACAGGCCAATTATTTTAGAAAGTCTAGCTAGTTTAAAAGAAATTAAACATGGAATATGAAACATATAATTAAATTAATATATTTTGAGGATAAAAAGTTAAGTTTTTATTTAGCTATATAAATCATTCTAATAATATAGATATGTATAAATTATAGAAAATATATACAAAAATTTTTTCCAAGTCAATATTATATATAATTTATTTTCGTTCTAGAAAATGTAATGAGATTAATAGAATAAAGATTTAATTGTAATGTGAGTATAAAAACGTGTTAAAAATTGTATGTACATGTAGATATAACAAGTAAAATTCTAAATTATAAGCGATTAGAGAATTTGAATGAGATATAAAATATTTTTATTTATTATTTATGATATAAAAATGTTTAATCAATTTTAATCAACATTATCATTTGTTAATTTCATTAATATTATTTTATACGTTATTAATATATAGTTTATTTCCGTTAATCTATCTAAATTTATCTGTTCGATACTATTGAATTGATCGATATCTCAATTGTTTCAGCATCGAATACAATTTGATGACACGGCTACCCGTACCTTCGAATATCCAAGCGAGGCATCGATGCTGGAGGGTGAGAGCAGTGTGGATGGCGAAACTTCCGGTTCCGTCGAGCAATCAACTCCGATCAGTAATAAAACGTCCTCGACCAATTCGGCTACCGGCATGTCAACCCTACTCGGTAATTTTAATCATTCTTTCCCGTTAAAACGAGCCTGTTCGTATATTTATCTCTTCTTTTTTTTACCTTTTATTTTTTATTCAGATTCGAAATATTATAATTAAATTTTATACAAATCTATAACTAAAGTTGTCTCGTTGTTGTTTTTTTTTTTTTTTTTTACAGAAACACCATTGTTACACCATGAACATTGAATATTCTATAAACAGCTGTGGAAAATTTGAATTCCTCTTAAACGTTTAATCTGAAAAAATTCTGTGAACAATTTTCTAAAAACGCTAAGATATGAGTCAAAAGTTTAAAACTTTTCTAAGCATTGTTGCTTAGAATTTCCAAGTATGGATCCAGCAAAAATTTTATCCCAACATTTTGTTAATATTGCAGCTATCAATTAGAAAAATCTTCAGCTTCATGCGAGTTCAATTGATAAATTGTATAATCAAAATTATCAATATGAGTATGAATATTTTTATATGAAAGTTTTTAAATATGTATAGCATAATAAATTATGCAACAATTTTTTTTATTAATGGAATACCATTTTAAGAATGTAAAATCAATCTTTAATAATTTTTGTAAATTAAAACATTTATTTAATTTTTTATTATCTCATTCTGTTTCAAATATTGCAAGAAAAAATTGAATTCTATTTATCAATTTGATAAAAATTAACATTAAATAATTCAATTATTGGATTTTTAAAACATTAAATATATATAATTTTAATATATAAATATAAGATATTCAAATTTTAATGTTCTATTGATCTATTGTAAAAAATATTCTCATACAAAAGAACGTACACAAATCCATTAAGCTTTATATACATATAAACTTTTATTAAAATCAGGATTTTTTAGTTAAAAAAATTTACTAAGATAATATTAATACTTTTGCTGATTTTAATAGCTTTATCACTAATCTTATAACAATGATATACACTGCAATGTTGGCGAAACATTACAACAAACAACAAATTACAACAAACATAAAATTTCTATTATACAATTCATATCCGGAATTTCTATTCAAGCATAAATTTTCCATTACTTTCATCGATTTCATGTTTCATTACCATGAAAGAAAAAAAAAATAATATATATATATATATATATTTTCATCCTTTATTATATATATCGCAAATGTTTCTCTAATTTATAACCATGGATAGCGTATTGAAAGCTAGTACTTGTTTTCTGCAGGTGGTGGTGGTGGCCTAGCCAGTTATACTCCTAGCAAAGTCGACTTGACATCAGAAGGATTCGAATTGGGCGTAACCAGAGCGATGTCCTCGAATTTGGTGACAACCTCGACATCATCGTGCCCGATAACCACGACAACATCCCAACCGGAGAACGAAACCGAAGTGGATTACCTGAAACCGGCTCAAGACGCGGGTGCATGGGGTTCCGAAACGACTGGTGATCTGCTCTACTGACATGACTGAAAAAAGGCGAGGAAGATACGCGTGAAGCGAGAAATATATTGCTAAAAGCTCAAAGCTCTCGAATTAGAGCGAGGAATCTAAAAATTCCGACTAACTACTCAGAAGACTAATTGACAAAAAAAAAAAAAGAAAAAGAAAAAAAAGAATTTTTCTTTCCTTTTTTTCGTAGGCACGAAAGGAAGAGTCTTTTATAGAAAAACGAATGATTATTATAGGGAAAGAAAAGAAAAATAATGTTCGAGGTTTTTTCGAGCGCTCTCGAACGAACGTCAATGCGACGATTGCTCACCTTACGATTATAAGAGAAGCTGTAACTTTTCAAGAAATGCATCATGCGACGCATTCACGATTGAGATAAATTATATTTACATAGGATAGTTCGGTGTCGTAAGAACTGTGCGCAATACTCTTTCAATTACAAGGAATGAATCAAAAGGGTAAAAAGGGAGAATAAAAATCCATTCGTGAACGCGTCGAAAGAAAAGCAATCCTTTCTTAGATAGTTAAGCTGGAAAAACAATTCAGCATCATTCCAAGTATATGCATTTACTTTGTATTATTACGATTATTAACGAAGTGAACAGACTTTTCCTAAGTAACTGTGTAACTGAAACTGCCAAGACGTATCAGTGCTTTTTTTTTCTTTTTTGATAGCACTTTAAACGGAGAGCCCAGTGATCGGTGAAAACAGAAAAGAAAGAAAGGAAAAAAATGAGCATATCATCTTTTTGGTATACTTTTTTATAACAAACAAAGAGAAGTCGACGATGGAACTGAAAATTTTGTACCCTTTTTGAGATTACTTTAACGCTGAGCCGTTTAACGTTCAAGCTGTCAATCAAAGGCCAGAGTTTTATGCAGGATTTTAAAAAAAAAGAAAAAAATTATTGATTGAATGCAAAAAAAAAAAATCGATCAAGAAAAAAACATTAAAAATTTCGAATTTAAATTTTTGTAAAAGATTTAGCCAAAGTAGAGTATAAGTCTACTTAATATATTAATATTATATATATATATATATACAATAAGTCGACGTTTTGGTCCAGGAATAATCTTGCAATTGTAAATTCCGAAAAATTCATTATTTATATAAATATATGTTAAATCATACCAATATCTTTTATGGATGCTCAAGATAAGATATTAGATACGTATGCGGTATAATTTTGTTGAGTTTGTTTCGTTTTTTGTTTCTTATACATTTGGACGAGGACCAAACAAAAAAAACCAATATATAATAGGTATAAAAATTACGAGAAAAAATTAATTTGTTAATAACGAATATTAATTTTAAGCAAATCAAATTTTGTATATACTAAATTATTATCAATCTCAAAGTTTCATTTAGTTTATGTTATATAATTAAATTGCTTTGAGATTGATTTATTATGTGTACTTTTGTTTCTTTTTCGTTGTCCATAATATTTGAAGTAGTAACACGAACGTCGAAAAATTAAAAATATTATGTTGATTCGCGTAAGTGTTTGAAGTATGATTGCGACAATATAGTTAACTTTCGATTAGAATTTAATCGCGTGATCGCGGACTGATTCAAGGGTAAACATGCGATATGATGATAATAATTAACGATAAATATGCATCTATACATTGAAATAACAATTGTGTTCCAATTTCCGTCACAGTATTTAATGAACATTATTATTCCGATTGCGTATTTCGAGACGCAATCGTATTTTCATTTAATTTCACATTGTCATTCGATCGATGCTTGATGGGTCTGTGTCACAGCGTTACATTTTACACTGTGATATTTTTATTATTTTTTCATAATAATGATATATATAATTACTTCCAAATATTTTAAGAAACCAGTACCGTGTCGACCGATCAGTTTGTATTTTCATAATACTACATAACGGAGTGAACGAGATTACGATGATTGAAACATTCCAAATTCTAAAATCATGCATTTTTGCTTTTTTGATCGCACGATTATGAATCGATGTAATCTCGCTACTCCGGTCGAGGGAACTCCGTATTATTTCTGTAAATTATCGCTGTACAGTATGGAAAGGCATCGTCATTCAAGTAAAGGATTAAAAGGAAATAGAATATTAAGATTATCCTTCTTATTATTATTATTCTTATGATTATTCTCATTATTATTATTGTCATTATTATCCGAAGCTTGAAGACACAATTACCTTATTGAGTATACTTACAAGTTAGAAATATTGTGTGATGTATCGTCTGTGTGTTATTAAAGTATTCAAGTAATAAAATGAAATAAGTATGCCCGAATTATTATATCGTCATGCCTATCTTTTTGGCGTATCTTATCAGACTCCCAAATGAAAAATAGGAATGTACTATCAAAACTATTCTTATTATTTAATAAATATATACAGTTTAATGAACAAATAAATAATATTTCAGTCAATTCATGGTCCAAGAACACAATTGCACATTCTTAAATATCTAAAACCTATGTTATTTGTATATCGATGTATAATATTCTTCTTCCAAATCGTATAAATCTGCTGCCATATCATCTCTTAAAGATGCTAACTTTTGATCACATTCAGCTTGTTTTGTCCTAAATAATTTACTATTTTGAGCTATAGCTTCATTTACCGATGGAAAATCGTTGAGTATCAAATACTGTTTTATATCGGATACAAGTTTCATTAAAGATTCTCCAGCACGAACAATATTTGCTGCTCTAACATGCATTTCATAAGTATCCTGTTCGCATTGTGTCATACGAGATAATTGAGAATCACTTTCTCCTTTGGCTAATTTTATAATTTCTGTAAAATAATAAAAATAATTTAAAATTCTTGTAAATATAAATAATGATCGTTAAGTTATAGGTTATAGATGTAATAAATCATAAATATATCCAATAAAAAAAAATATAGATAGTTTTAATTTAAAAGAAAATAATGAATTAAGAAATATATTATTATATTTTCTAATATAGAATTATTTTTTTTTATATAAACTTTATTATTACATATTATACAAAAGATTGAGGTTAGAAAGACTACCTTCAAAATTTTCAAGCATAGATTTCACATCTTCCTTTAATCTTGTAGTGTAAGATTTCAATAAAGCTTCTTTACTTTGTGGCAATGCTCGTTGTGCAGCCATTATTTAACACTAAAAGTTAAATTTTATCGTATAAAAACGTACTTAATACGTTACAAAAATTCAAGCCAACAGTCAAATAGAAATTTTTGAATATGGCGTTTGTGAGTAGAGGTCGTTGAAATCAGTATTTCAAAGTCGGTATAGCAGTTAAGTTTGATTCTCGAAAATTCATAAACTGATTGATTTACTCTTTTATCTAGTTTGTTTTCAAACTGTTCAAATCGTTTCGTGACTATCAGTTGATGCGATTTTATCGACCGAGCGTTGATCACATATATACACCAACTCAAAATCGCAATCATCTCGAGAACGAGTGATCGATAATCTTCTTGAAAAAACACGAGAAATCTCGAAATTAGATTTTCGACGAGACTATCACTCACAAGTGAAGCATAAGGTCGAATCGTTTATATATTGATTTTCTAGAAGAAACCTAGGACAGAAAGCCACCCTATCCCCACTACGATCCTTGAAAACCGGGATGAAATCAATAGAAAGCTCACGTGAACTCTCCGTCTTCGGTAAATTCATTCGCACGCGAAATTTCACGGGGTATCACGCAGGGAGGAGCGTCGAGACCGGGTAAATGCGATGGAGAACGTAAGGACACTGTTTTAATGCCGCGTACGTCGCGTTTCGAAAGGGAAACCGAGAATATCGGATTATCCCCTCGAAGTGCGCCGTTCTCGGCTTGTGAAATCTCATTCGGGAATAAAATCATCATTCTATAAATTAGTGATATTCATTCGTAAACGATCAGCGATCAACGACGATGGCTGTGATTTACATAAAGAAAGTGCGATACTCAGCGTTGTGGTCTTGGGGTGTGTCGTAAAAAAAGGAAAAGTATAGAAAGTTTAAGGTTGTTTACACAAATAAATGACAAAATTTGACGAACGTCGCGATGATAAAGCTTCTAATACTTTTAACGTTGACGAAAGTGATCGGAGGTTCGTTACCTCCCGACGATGCCGACAATGTGTTGCATATCGGTGGCATTTTTCCGATAGGAGGCAAGGGCGGATGGCAGGGTGGCCAGGTGAATAATAAATATTATATTATATTATATTATCCTTATTTAAAATTTTTTATTTAGCATTTTTAAAAATTTTTTTTTAACATTATTAATATTGTCTTAAGTTTTATACATTCTTTAACTTTTAAGTAAAATTAGAAAATTTTATTTAATTTTTAGAGATTTTGAATCAGATTTAATTTTTTTTTAATAAAGAGACTTTTTGTTTCAAGAAAATTGATAATAACTTCAGTTTTCACATTTATATTTCTACATGCTAGATGAGATAATTTTAATTAAAAATGACAATATATTTTTTCTTTTCTTTTATATAAAATATATAAAAATTAATGAGCATTTCACTTAATAGGCTTGCATGCCAGCTGTAAACCTGGCTCTAGACGATGTTAATCATAACAAAAATTTGTTACCTGGATTCATATTGAAGCTTCACTCAAATGATAGCCAGGTATATGAAATGTTTAAAAATATTTTGAAAAAACACTATAGAAATCATAATAGAAAAGTTTCTTTAAATTTTTGTATTATTTCAGTGTGAGCCAGGACTCGGTGCCTCGGTCATGTATAATCTATTATACTATAAACCGCATAAATTAATGTTGTTAGCTGGATGTAGTACTGTTTGCACAACTGTCGCAGAGGCAGCGAAGATGTGGCATTTAGTTGTGGTGAGTGTCAAAAAGGATTTTTTATTAAAAAAGGAAAAAAAGATATAAATATAAATTACGATCTTTAGTTATGTTATGGTGCATCGTCGCCTGCATTGTCCGATCGAAATCGGTTCCCGACGCTTTTTAGGACACACCCATCAGCTACGGTGCATAATCCTACGAGAATCAAATTGTTGCAAAAATTTGATTGGTCTCGAGTGGCAATTTTGCAGCAAGCCGAAGAAGTGTTCATATCTGTAAGACCATTCTCATGCAAATTAGTAAACTGAATTTTTATTCAAATATATATTTTTAATATTATATATATTATATTTCACATATGTGCATTTAAAATGAGATATTATACGTGTGAAATGAATGAAATATCGTGATAAATAGATCTTTTGTAACAAAAACACTACAAATGAATAACACAAATTATACGTATTAGCTGAATTTGCATTTGTACAGAAGCTGCATAAAAATCTTCAGTTTACGAATTAATATTTTAATTTTTGAACACGTTCAAAATTATTTTCTATTTTACTTTTGTCTTTCTCTGTTGACAGACTGTAGAAGATTTAGAAGCACGTTGCAAAGAAGCAGGAATAGAAATAGTTACACGCCAAAGCTTCTTGTCTGATCCATCTGATGCTGTAAGGAATTTACGTAGACAAGATGCTAGAATCATTGTTGGTTTATTTTACGTAGTAGCCGCGAGAAGAGTTCTTTGCGAGTTGTATCATCAAAATCTTTATGGAAAAAGTTATGTATGGTTCTTCATTGGTTGGTACGAGGACAATTGGTACGAGGTAAATTTACACGAAGAAGGAATTACATGCACAAAAGATCAAATGAGACTGGCAGCTGAAGGACACTTGACGACCGAAGCTCTGATGTGGAATCAGAATAATGACACGACAATCAGCGGGATGACTTCCGAGGATTTTAGGCAGAGATTGAACAAAATGTTGAAGGAAGGTGGATTTGATATCGATAATAATCGTTACCCTGAAGGATATCAAGAGGCACCTCTCGCTTATGATGCAGTTTGGTCAGTAGCGCTAGGTATGAAATCAAATTACTATCAGCAGGGCCACATTTATTTCAAAGCTATTATTAAGCTAGTACATTTTAAAATTGTGTTACAAATAACAATATAAAAAATAATCTAGTTATAATTATGAAACAAAATATTTCTTTTTAAATATAAAAGATTATTGAAAATTGAAATGTGAAATAAAGATTTCTTATTTATAAAAAAAAAAATTGACAATGAATTGATTAAATTTTAAGTGTCATTTAGGAGGAACAATTTGGTATGCAATTTGATTTATGGAAATGTTAATTTTCATTTATAATAAACTTAAAATATATATGAGTTAATTGAAATAGATTTATTTTACTGAAATTTTAATGATATTGTGTCTAAGACACAATTGTTCAACAATATAAATGCAGCCCTGAATATCAGTAATGATGAGATCAAGCTTAATATTTACTTATAAATTTAAATCCGATGCAAAAGATTTTATAGATAATGTAATATTAGCAAGATATAATGGTTTATTTTGACACTTGCAAAGTATTCGATCCTTGTATACTAATTTCGAACTTGAAAATGAATACACATTTACAAAGTAATAAAATTTTTATTTTTTCCATATAAAAGTATTTGAAAATATCTCTTCTTTTTTTCGAAATACTTTTAAAAAAGATTCTTTAAACAATTAATATTCTGTAATATACTTGATTCCATCGCTCAGTCATGGAAGAATTTCTCTCTCATATGTTTCCATTTGAACCGCAGCTTTCAATAAAACAATGGAGAAGCTGAGTAAGCAAGGAAAGAGCCTAAAAAACTTCAGTTATACTGACAAGGAGATAGCAAATGAAATTTACTCGGCGATCAACTCCACTCAATTTTTAGGAGTATCTGTACGTGACTCGGCTAAAAGTAGAAATAATATGCGAAGTCCTTTATTTCAAGTGGCGCCGATCTTTAATCGATCCTCGTATGTACTATAGGGATACGTTGCATTTAGCTCACAAGGTGACAGAATTGCATTGACCCAAATCGAGCAAATGATCGATGGAAAGTACGTTAAGTTGGGATATTATGATACGCAAAGCGACAATTTGACATGGAGGAACATGGAAAGGTGGATCGGTGGTAAAGTGCCACAAGATAGAACCATCGTGAAGACTGTTCTTAGGACGGTCTCATTGCCTTTATTTATTTGCATGGGGACTATATCTTCATTGGGAATCATAATAGCTGTGGCATTGATCATTTTTAATATATGGAATAGACATAGAAGGTATATTATATAATATATATAATATAAAATTATAATATACTACATATTTATATACCAAGAGTATAGAAAATATCCTTTATATATGTACATGAATACATATGAATTCCTAAAATTTATATATATTCCAATTTAATTATTCTAATTTAATCTAATATTTTTCTTAAATGTTTTTTTTTTTACAGGGTTATAATGTCATCACATCCTGTGTGCAATACTATAATGCTGATTGGAGTTATAGCATGTTTCGTGTCGGTGTTTCTATTAGGAATTGACGGCAGATTCGTTGCAGCTTGGGAATATCCAGCGGTCTGTCAAGCTAGATCTTGGATGTTGTCCACAGGTTTTACTTTAGCATTTGGGGCGATGTTTAGCAAAGTATGGCGCGTTCACAGACTTACGACAAAGACAAAAGCTGATCAAGCAAAAGTAAGTAATCGAAAAAAAGGACAAATGCAGTTATGTCAGTTGAAAATGTTTTAGAAAATCGTCCAAATGAAACCCGATCGATTAGTGAATTAACAATTTGATTAATATTTCTAGTTTGTCACGCAGTGTGCCCGTCCCTGCATGGTTTGCAGATCCTGCTCGTATGACCCTCAACTTTAACATATTCTCGATTCTTTTTAGTTGTTCATGGCTAAACAAAAAGTTTCGTCCATACAGAAGAAAATTCAACCATGGAAGCTGTATACGATGGTAAGCGGATTGTTGGCAGTGGATATCGTACTGTTAGTCTGTTGGCAAGTGCTTGATCCTTTGCAAAGGAAGATGGAGTCATTCTCGTTGGAATCACCTCCGTTTGGTGATGACGATGCAAGGATTAGACCGGAATTAGAACATTGCGAGAGCACACACAATAACATTTGGCTTGGTAAATTGGTTAATGTTTTACATTGAGTAACAAATTTATTTACGTTTCTTTAACCAAGGATTAACTAATGAGATTGGTTGGTTTTAAATTTTACTTTACTTTATTAAAAAATGTGTAAATGCTTTTGAACAAATTAATATTATTATTTATTATTAGATAAACGTATCGTTATTTATTTTTATATTACTACTTTAATTTTAATTATTTATGCATAAGAAAAAAGTTATTATGCATATAAGAAAATGCATACTAACTAAATTGGTAATTCAACTTTGTTTCAAGAAATAAATTTCATTAACCCTTACGTATTTTTTCCAGGTTTGATTTATAGTTACAAAGGAATCATCCTGGTGTTCGGATTGTTTTTGGCGTACGAGACAAGAAGTATCAAAGTGAAACAGATCAACGATTCCAGATACGTTGGGATGTCGATATACAACGTGGTTGTTCTCTGTTTGATCACAGCTCCTGTAACAATGGTGATCGCTAGCCAGCAAGACGCCAGTTTCGCTTTCGTTGCACTCGCCATTATTTTTTGTTGTTTTTTAAGCATGGCGCTGATCTTTGTGCCTAAAGTGATCGAGGTGATCAGACATCCGAAAGATAAGGCTGAATCTAAGTACAATACCGATGTGGGTATGTCGAAAGAGGACGAGGAAAAATACCACAAACTTCTTAGCGAGAATGCCGAGCTTCAGAAACTTATTGCTGTGGTAAAGAAATTGTTTAATGCTTTTTTGAGTGATGGAATCAAGTATATCGCAAGCAAACTTAAATATTTACATAAATCAGATTCAAATATTTAATAAAATAAGTATTTTGAGGAAAAGAAATTACTTTTAAAATTAATTTTAAATTCGAATTTATATCAGCTTTGCATTTTCTATGAATGGGTTTAGAAATGAAAAAAAAAAATTCTAAATAAAATCTAAAAATTTCGTATATTATCATTACATTATATTGAACTTGATTTTATCGTTTTTATTTACAACTATCGACAATCTCTTATCACAAGATTCATTTTTGTAGAAAGAAGAGAAGATCAAACTTCTGAAACAGACATTGGCCGAGCGAGATGCGTTGAAAGATGGGAGCGGAAATCTTCCGAAGGATTCGCTGATAGTCGCCGATTTCGTAACCGGCGAAGGAACTTCTGATAGCGCAATCGGTGGGGGTATTTCTGTTTATACACAGTCATCTCGAGCTTCTGCTTCTGATTTTGAGTTTTCAGGATCGTACTTGTAGATTCTTGTGGATTTATGTTCCGTTCTTTCTATAAGTAGAAATCGTAACGAATTTAAGAAAGTGGGACCTAAATTGGATAAAAAAGCATATTGTTTCTTTCTTACGAGTTTTTGATCTTTTTATCGAATCTATCGAAATCACGCGTCGTACTTTCTCTCTCTTTCTCTGTCACAAATTATTATTGGGTGCATGTAAAAGTTTTAATTTCGTTAATACATGAATAGATTGTATTATTTTAGAAAAACTAATTTATTTAATTAATTAATGTAATTGTCATTGTTTTCGATGAACTTTGCCTATCTTTGTGACAACCATTGAATTCCTTTGTTACACAAATACTCGATTTTTGTTCACAATATATGGATACGTGATTTTTCAAAGTTTAGAATAGATTAGAATATACGTTTTATAAAAAAGAAAATAAATAATCTAATCAAGTAAATATTTATATGCTAGGATGCATTCAGAATTATTTATTACATAGTTTATTACTATCCTGACTTAATATCTTTGCTATTTTCCACAACTTTCTTGAATGTAAGAAGAATCTTTTCCTGAATTGTTTCTTTTAATTTTTCCAATTATTGAAAAAAATTCTTATACAAAATTAAAATTGGAAAAAGATTCTAATTTTTGAGTGCTTTGAAAAATCACATTGTGTCTGCGTATTTGATAAAAAATAAAATATATTTTATTATAGTATTTTATATTTAATAAAGAAATTCAATTGCTAATATAATATCAGAAATGGATGAAAAGTAATCGAAAACAAAAACGATTATAAAGTTGATTAAATAAATCATTTTTTCATAAAATCTATTCGTTTATAACGAAATCTATCAAAACTTTTTGCACGTATTGCTATTTATTATCGCACATCATATAGATTCAATTCGTTTCAATTTTGAACGAGACTTCGAAAGGAAAACGACTCACCGAAAGCAGAAACAAGCGACTCGTTAGCTCGAGACAGCTTTGTTTCTTAATTCATTGTTCAATGTATAATATATTGTTCGCCTTTTCTTGGGGCGACGCACCCTTTTTATGTATTCGGTGTCTAAACGTATAAATATTGAATGTAATGTGTATATAACAAGTCAAAGCATTAGATGTGCGTATGCTGCGTAGTGAGATTAATAAAAACGTTCTCAATGTAAAATTAAATCCATACGCGCGAGATACTAATTGAATATCGCTGATCACATACAAATTGTTGGCCTACAATTGTCGCGCGCCTCGTTCTCGTTCACAACGACCTTTTCGTTACTTCGAGAGAGTCATTATTGCACAATTGCAGATATTTCCGACTATTGGGATTTTATTATTATACAGATATTTGTACAGAAAAGTTTTATCGAACGAATATCGATATCTTGATTCAATCACGTAAGTTTGCATCCAACTTCTCTCGAATATCGATATTGATCGATATTGATTCGATGTTAATCGATATTCGATACTGATCGATATTCGATACGGGAACATCGCATAAATCGATTACGTAAGACGGACCAAACACTTCGTAAAATATATTTGCTAATTGTTAACTTTCGAATATTTTATGCAAATTGTGGAATTGTCGAGTTTTGTTGGCGAGACACGTCAACGTGGCAAATGGCACTATGATTCGAATTTATTCGCGCACGGTTTATACGGGTCCAAAAAAAGAAAAAATAAAGAAAGGAAACACAGAGGAAAGAAACGTTTCTCATTAATTCGCGAATGTCATATCTATAACACGTTGCATACGAGGTAAAAAAGAGATATTTGATTTATTGTATAGTTTGTATCGCAATTAGCATCACGAATATTTCGTTTGCTCCAGGCCTAAATTCTTTTTTTATATGATTCACGCATGATTTGCAACAAATTGCAGTTAAATCTCGTTAGACAATAACCTGGTCGTTTCCGAGACAGCGTCAATATCGATATGTGAACCTCATGAAGTCTGCTCCCAAATTACGTATAACGAAACGTTGCACGGCACGCGAAATTGGTGTTTCGACAAAAAAATGATGCTTGTACGCGGGCAACAAGATATTACATACATTCACGCAAAAAAAAAAAAACAACGTGCTAACGAGATTTAAACGCTTCAAAATGTTGCGCCATTCATAAATAATTTGGGAGTCTTGATGAGGTGGATCGACAATTATTTATGGCCAACCAACGTTTAATCTTTCAGATCTTACACTCTTAATAATGTAAAATATATAAATATGATGCTCCACTCGAATATCAATTATTTATGAATGGGCAAGAAAAAAAAACAATCTGTACGCTTATACCGCATAGATATCTGAAGGATTATCGTTTTTGAATTCTTCTTTTTAGAAACGGACCAGGTTGGCTGAACGCAAGAGCCCCGTCGATTAGGATGACAAAAGCAATACGAGCATATGAACGAGCTGAAAGCTCTCACAAGGCAAAAAAAAGCTCTTTATTTCTTTTTCTCTTCTAGTATCAAATGCACACATGCATAATTTCTTCATACGGAAATGCATGTTCTTATTTTGTAACCGCAAAGAAACCGAGAATCGTGTTTGTTTGTAACGACAAAAAATTCTATTCTGTCGTTGGCATCGTCGATGAATTATTTTGTCACGCATAGCGTAAGTCTAATAAAAGAGATTATTTCAATCGTGTGATTTTTCGAGAGGAATGCAATCATGTTTCTCTCCATTTTTAAGAGTGATTTAAACAAATGTTACACAGATTAAAAATGCTTAAAAATTCAAAAAAGGAACAACTATAAACGATGTGGAATTCATATTACGATTTAATCGAAACTCAAGATAACAAAGAAGATATTTAAGAATTATTTAAATGGAATGCCAAAGTTCAAACTTAAGAAATAATGAATATGTGAATATTAATGAAAATAGTTTTAAATCGTTGAGTTCAGAAGATGTTTTACATTATTGATGAGATGGTAATGTGATTTGACTGCAATTCAAATTTTGTCTATACACAAGATGACTTATGTATGTATATCGTAGATTGAGTAAGCCACAAAGCACAACTTTTTCGTATGTGCATTACAATTTCGTCACTCTACGTATACATGATGTTTATAGAAAAATTTTACGAACGTTTCTGTTGAATCGTTTCTAGTGTAATTATCATCGCGCTCATCTACGCATTTTTTACTATACTTCTTCGACCGACTGTCGCGCGAATCGCGCTTGACTAAAATATTATACGATATAAATATACTAGTCTTATTGAACTGTTAAAGAAAGTATCATATATATGTATGTTAGAATATGGAGATATATTTATTTTTAAGTTTTTAAATTATAAAATATTCGTTAAAAATTCTTATATTGTATATGTTATTGATAACCCTGCGCTTCGAAAAAAGCGTTTGCTCTTGAATCGATCGATCGTTCACGGATCTTTGCTGTGTTACAATTTCATAATCGCAACGCTGTGCGTTCGAATTCATAATTGAAAACGTTTATCTCGCGTGAATATATCGTTGTGATTTTACACAAGTTTACATGAAACCAAATAAATTTCATCGTTTCGAAACATTAAATGATGACACGAATAATTCTCCAAAAAAATACGTATATTTAATACATCATAGATCCATATGGCGATTATGAAAAATATGTAGTACAAATGAAATACAATTGTATTAAAAAATCAAATAAACTTAGTTACAATTTAAGAATAAAATTGGTGCTATTATGATTTGGAAAGATTCAAATGAATTTAAATAGTTAGAATTGTCACGTGATAAGCAATCAGCATAGAAACGGAAATTTGTGGCGCATGTCAGCCGCCATATTCGTTATACTCTCGCTTATACAAAATCAGAAGGCGCGCGCGGTAAATCGTGTTATTGTAATACATTAATTTTAGTTTTAATTTGAGAAATGTCATTTAGTACTGGATTCGGAGGAACAACTTCGACACCTGCTCCTGCATTTAGCTTTGGTGTTACAGCTTCTACTACGGCGACACCAGTGAAACCAGGTAAGTTGTCTACTTTTAGGTTAAGTCACATTTCGCTTCTTCTCTTGTTATATATAAGTTACTTTTTCGAATGTATTTTCAACAAATTTATCATTCTGTGATTCTTATTGGGTCAAAATGTATTAAATGTTTTATATTTTTTGTAAAACTTATTATTGTAGATATATGTAAAATATCAATTTAAAAAACACTCCATTTTTCAATGTGTTGCCTCATCACAATGCCTACAGATATAAATATCTTGTTTTACATTACTATTTTATATGTTACGATTCTTTAAGGCTGCATTTTATTCGAAAAAAAATTATTGCAGATTTTTAGTTTCGCATAGAACCACAGCTTGTTTTGTTTGTACTGCTTGAAATCTTATCTAGTAAAGGCTGATTCATTCCAGTACATCCTGGTTCACATTCCATATCTTCTTTTCCAAAGAAAGTACTCTTTCTTTTTGATTTAGTTATAATACATGCTGTGATACAACATAATAAGAATATTATCAATAGTGCAGTTAACAAAGCAATTAAAATCGATGAATGACCTGTAGGTTCTTTAGTAACTGGATGATATGGTTCCGTTACTGCTATTGCACGTGCAAATGGAGATGTTTTTTCAAAATGCACTAATTTCGTTATAACAGGAGGACTTGTATCCTCTAAATCATACATTTCACTTGGAATTTTACCCATTGTTGTTAACATAACTTCTGCTGTGACATCCTTTTATGATAATAAAATATCTTAGAATTTATATTATAATATATATATATATATATATATATATATATATATATATATAAAATATATATATA